TATATATATATAAAGCAAGAAAGACAATTCTACACGAACAAGAAGGATAAACTGCAACATTAAATAAAATACTCCGTCGCCTATCCCAGGCCTCGGCTGTAACCAAGATCTCACACAAGTTTCCGGATTTCCAAACTTTACTTTAAAATAACCGTAGAGTAAAATAATAAATTTTCAAATCTGTATAATTAAAATCAGTAAAACACAATCATCCTCCCTTTTCACTGTCTTGTTGCGGTGTGCAACCCGATCCCACATGTCCACCCTTATCACTATCATTTATCCACCCTTATCACTATCAATTATCCACCCTTATTACCATCAATTTTCCACCCTTATCACTACCAATTATCCACCCTTATTACTATCAATTTATTCATGTATCACAACTTTCACAGTTCAGGCCAAGCCTTTCGCAACACTTTTATCTCAACAATAATAAACAGAAAATTATACTTCTCATAAACTCATCAATATTATCACAGAAAATGAAATCAACAGGAACATATATTTTTTTACGTTTCGTAAAACAATGCCAATATACTCAACCTTTATGTATCACAAGGGGAACAAATAAACTCAAGTACTCTTCCAAAATAACCACAATAATATTCAACAACAAAGGAATAAGGCCAAATAGTTGTAGAAACGATAATGAACATAAAACAATTAAGCCATGAATCAATTTAAATTGAAAACGGGGAAGGGATCATGTTTAACAGACAATTTGGTGGTGCATAGATACTCGTCACCTCACCTATACACCACACACATGTTAATTAACATAAAAAATAAATTGTTAATTCAACTTAATATCATTAATTAAGGCTAAAGGAACTAACTTTATTGAAAAATATAATTTTTCCTAAGTTTTCTCAAAAAAAGTGAAAACTCGACCCCGGCCCCGCTTGGTCTAAACTCGGGTTTCGGACCAAATTACGTTTACCCATTCACCCACAAGCCCAAATATATAATTAGTTTTGAAATCGACCTCAATTCGATGTAAAACTTCAATTTTTATGAAATTTCTTAATTATACCCAAACCCTCAATTTTTACCATGAAAATTCTTAGTTTTTTATTTAAAAGTGATGAAAAACAATGTGGAATTGAAAGAGTAAAGTTTAGAATTGATTACCTATGAATTGGGGACGAACTTTGGTGAAGAAATTCGTTCCTAGGGCTGTAAGGTTCGAAAATTTGGAGAAGAAAGATTCTGTCCGTTTTAAAATTGGTTTTTATAGGGCTGGGTAGTCGACCTTCGCACCTGAGGTGCTTGGGTCGCACCTGCGCCTTCGCAGGTGCGGAGAAATGGTCGTACCTGCGGAAATGACTAATCCATATGGGGGTCGCACCTGCGGGACCGCTCCTGCGTGCCATGAATGCGTACTTGCGGTCTCGCACCTGCGAGCCGGCTCACGGGTGCGGGCACACCAGACCTGGTGCACCAGCAGTAGTTTTCCAACTTTAAAAACTCTGGTACCTACTCGAAACTCACCCAAGCCCTCGGGGCTCTAAACAAATCATGTACACAAGTCTAAAAATATTATACGGACTTGCTTGTGCGATCAAATCATGAAAAGAACATTTTTATATCACAACTCATCATTTTTATCAAGAACATTTTTAGTTCATAACTTTTCAACCGAATGTCCGAATCACGTCAAACAAACTCCGTTTTCCACCAAATTTCACAGTTAACCTTTTTATATCACAACTATTCTGTACCGGGCTCCTGAACCAATATACGGGCCCGATACCAATGATTTTAAACAATATCTCTTTTCTTTAATTCATAAGTATTTCAGTAAATAAATTTCTTTTAAAAATTGATTTCTAAGGTTTGGGACCTCGGAATTCATTTCCGGGCATGCGCCCTAACCCCATATTTTACTGCGGACCTTCCGGGATCGTCGGAACACGGATCCGGGTCCATTTACTCAAAAATGGTGACCAAAGTCAACTTTAATCAAATATAAATCCTAGAAATCACTATTTCTCATATTTTTCACATAAACGCTTTCCGGTTTCACGCCCGGACTGCACACGCAAATTGAGGTATTTAAAATTGACTATTAAGCATGGAACAGAGTCTAAATTTATAAAATAACCATTTGGGTCATCACAAAAAGAGATCACATAACAAAATAAAGCAAATAAGGTATTCACTATTAATCACATTGAAAGAGAGACAACGTAAAACTAAGAAAACTAATAAATAAAATACTACAACCTTCCATTAAAACTTGTAAAGTGTTTTTTTCTCATTTTTTTTTACAAAGAAAATCAGAATAACACATAAAAGGAAAATTTCAAATAAACTCCAAATCCAAAACAAACTGCGAGGATTTTACATGAATTCTTGAAGGGAAGTAAAAATATTTTCTTTTAGAAGTGGTATTTGCCACAAATTAACAGACTTAAAATAAAAACTCATAATGAACTTGATCTTTAGCTTCGGTACCTCTTATTAATAAATTTCATGGCATGAGATATAACTTTATTGTTTGAACTATTCTTACCTATTTAACAATGATAATATTTTAACACAAAAACTTATGAAAATGTTTTAGCCAAAACAGTAAATAGAAAATACTTATATACTCAAGATTCAAGGAATAATATCTTAAATACACAACAGGGATTAAGAGAAAAATAAAAACTCGAATATTACTCCGATAATAAATAAGATATAAACTATAGCAACACAACAACTTCATAATAGATCTTAATTCTAAAAATATCTATTTACAGTTTATTTCCAACAAACACATTAAAATAAATTAAACAAAAGATTAGAAGAAAACCTGTAATGTGAAGCTTCTTTTACCAATAATAGTAAAAATTGGTACAAACTTCAATTTCAAAAATTTCAAATGAGAAAGACAGCAACCAAAGGAGACAGAAAACTCGGAATCGGAACCAAAACAGTACTCAAACGTCCACTCGAACATCTGCTTCTATTATAACTCCATTTTTCTTTCCAAAGTTTCCAAACAGAAGCCAAATGCTTTTCAAATTCTCCACTCAATAAAATATTTTCCTTAAATCTTTATCATATCCCTCTTTCCCCTCCTTTTTTCGTTGCTTTTTTCTTTTCAGTTTCGTTTTTTTTTTGTTCTTTGCCCGTCACTTTTTTTTTAATCTTTTCTTCTGTTTTTTTTTTATCTTCTTTCTTCACTTCCTTTCCTTTCCCTTCTGTTCTTTTTTTTGTACTTCCGTCAGTTTCTTCGTTCTCCCTCTTCTATTTTTTTTTTCTTCCAATGTGCTCTATTTATATGTGGGTGTCTTGTATAGTGTAACATATGTGTGGGTTAATATTGAAAGGAGTGGGGGAAGCGGAGAAGGGATGTGAAGGAATGGGGGTGAGGCATGAGTGAAGTGGGGAAATTGGATGTTATTTATTTATTTATTTATTATTTTTTAATATATCACACACACACACAAATATATATATATATATATATTCTTCTATTTAAGCACATGAATAAATCTTATATTCTAAGAATGTGAATATTTTTTGTAGTTTTTTAATTTTCTTAAATAAAATCTATTAAGAGTAAGATAAAAATTTAAAATATTAAGATTAGACCTAAAAGAAATATTTACACCAAAATAGTATAAAATTTGTGTGTGGTCAAAAATTAGTTGTTTACAAAAAGTACACTAGGCTCCTCTCCAAGCCAAAAAAAAAAAAAACTTGATTATGCATCTTTATAGCCCATTCCTAGCAAAATTATAATCTCAATTAGGTCTCTTTATAGCCGTTTCTTGGCATAATATACATTCTCGTTCTCTGGGCTATATGATTTGAAAAATATTCTTCTCTTTATAGTTAATATGAATTGAAATGATCACATTACTCTCTCACTATATTGTATATTAACCCAGACTATCCATTGCTCTCTCGTGGATAGATTGTTGTTGAGTTTGCCCACATTAGAGATATTTGAGGTCCTTGGACTCCTTATATAATTTTGGTCAATCATCGCCTCATAAGCTAACTTTTGGTGTTGAGTTAGACCCAAAGTTCATTTATCAAGATATCAGAGCCAGACATATCCCAATTATTGTTACCGATGTTGGGCCTCTCATTTATGTTGTCCACACTTCAGTTTGTAGACCTGGGCGTTGGGGAAGGAAGGGGAGGAGGGGGGGGGGGGTNGGGGGGGGGGGGTTAAAAAGAAACTTTAAATAATCTTCAGGGAAACGGTCCCTCAAATATGACTAGGATTATTTCTATCACAAGTTGCAAAATTATTCAAAGTGACCTCAATTAGACGATATATGGCTATTTCTATCAATTATCTATATTTTCCAATTACGAATCCATGGATCAATTGTTAATCAAATGATTTGTTACAATAATTTATAGACAAGGTTACACATACCAATTCATATTAAATAAGCGTTATAATGTTTATCTCCATTTTGAGTTTCAACATTTCAATTTCCAAACATCAAATTCAACTCAAGAACCTAAGTAAAACCTCAAATTCCAATCCATAATTTTATCCTATTAATCAATAGCGAAAGGAATTTATAGTCATGACACTTAACTCTTTTTAAACTATATATGTTAACATGAATTCATAATATATTTTTAGATTATGATATATGTGACATGTTCCAAATTCAAACTTCCTTAGTTTCAAAGTATGCTATTTTTTATTATATAATTTTTTGTAGGCAAAATTAACAACTAAACTTTTTCCTCTCAAAACAACATCGTATTATTAATTCGGCCCAAAAAAAGGGGAGAAAAGAGAAAATCCAAAGTTATCGCCCAAAAATAGTTCTATTTTGTATTACTCCTAATTTTTCGCCCAAATAGTAATGTGGTTCCGCCCAACGACTGGTTTCCACATCCGTCTTCACCCTTGCAAAACCATCTCTTCTATTAGGGTTTTTCTCCCCTGAAAGGATTACCTTCTTCTCCAGCTAACCGGTAACTACATGTCCCAGCAGTTTTCCCTAGACTTATTTGTTGCATATGAATTTTTGCTCTTTGTGATTAACTCTCAAACGTTGTTGTTTTATTTTTAGGGATTTTTGGAAGCAACGAAATTATCTAGAAATGTTCTCGTCCTAATTTCAGGTAAAGCTTAAATTTTCCTTTATCCGTTGCTATTTCTCTTTTTTGTTGGCTTAAATAGCGGTCCATAAAAATAGTTGCTGTTGATTAAGTTAAATTTTCATTGCTACCCTTTAGGTTTTTCTTCAGTTGGTGCAGAAACAGCGAACTTGAGGTGCACATACTTTCTTTTTGAATATGGTAACATATTTCTGTATATATATTGAGGTACATATACGTTATCTTTATTACATTAATCAGGTACATATTTTTGTTTTGAAAAAGTCAAAAGGAGTAGAATAAGTTTTACTATAGTTGAGGAAAGTGATGATTCTGATTGATTTTTTAGTTTCACATACACTTAAAATACTTTAAATCTGAGATTAATTAAAATGGAGTGACATGGTATGTGAGGATCATATAGCTGACGGAAGCTTGCTGATTGGGGTGTAAATACAACAACAGCAACATACCCACTAAAATACCACTAGTGGGGTCTGGGGAGAGTAGAGTGTACGCAGACCTTACTCTTATCCCGAAAAGGGTAGAGAGGCTGTTTATTGGGGTGTAAATATTCCTTATTAAAATGATCTTTCTTCCTAGCATTTTGCTTTTTGGATATATGATGACCGACTTGGGTTGTTTGGCTAATAGTAATTGTTAAGAGAAGTTTAGGTAAGCATGTAGGAAAAACATTCTTTATTCTTCAGTCATCCACTGCTTATAGGTTTTCTTTTCCTCGCGTTTGGAGCTGCATTGTAGCTTCTTTGGTTATGCCAACTTTGGTGGTTTGCCTTAGTGATGAACCTTATGCTCCTGAAAGATTTGGCCACTTCTTAACTGACATATTGAAGACATTTGGTCATGGAAAATAGCTGCACCATATTGCTGAGTGATTGACTGGTCCAGGTCTAACACTGAGTTATCAACATGATTGTTCAATCAAGTCTAGGTCTTCTCCTTAATCACCAGTAAGTAGAACTGAAACATAAAGCGGATGCTGCCTATACAATAGTTATACAAGTTAAAAAATGGACCCAAACACCAGATTGTCATGTGAACTGTAGATTTATTTTCATCATCTTATCCTATTCTGAATAAGACGGCAGGCTATACAGTGTCGGATTTTTTTTTGTTTGATAAGATAACGGTGTTTTATTAAAGCAAGTACCAAGGAGGTACTTCAAAAGTACAACAAAGAGGGATTACATCCACAATACAATAGCTATCAGCTCATTGTTTCTATGAAGTCAACAAGCTTAGAAACCTTCGCTACAGTGTGTTCCTTACACCAGGCATAGATTAATGGAAGTTTTAAATTTTCTTCCCTATATCCTCATGTCATCTGAAAGATCCAAAAAAAAAGTGTGATATATCCTCTATTTTACAGCCCTTATACCAAAGGGTGTATCTTTCCTTTCAAAATATCTTTTGTTAGTCTCTGGCAAAGCAGTCCACATTATTGTGGCTGTGGATAGTCTTCCATAACATCTTCAGCTGTCTACAGATTCTCTGACTATCTCAGCAAACTCTTCACTTCCCATGGCATGACTCAACACACTCCAAATTGTTTTTAGAAAAAATGACCAGATTTGCCTTACTTAGGTGCAATGGAGGAACAAGTGGCTGATGCTCTCCAAAGAATTCTCATAAAAGAAACTTCTCCTGCATAAAGAACAACCTCTTCTTTGAAGTTTAACATTAGTCAAACAGGCACCCTTAGCTGCTACCTTCCAAGTAAGCAACTTCAGGGATGCTTTAGTCTTCCAAATCATTTTCCAAGGCCAATTCATTTCTCAACAGCCTGCTCTCTTTTGAAGACAATTTTAGCAACCTTTAACAGAGACATCCCTGTTCTTACTAGCCAGACAGACAAGTGTGTCATTACTACCTGCATTCAAAGAAAGAGTTTGTAGCAAGTCCAGTGAAAGTGTAACCTCCTGGAATTCCCAGCCATTGGATCTCCTCAGCTGCAATTGCCATCCATCAGTAGAGAAACATTCAGCTACCATAAAGTCTCTATTTACAGCCAGACTATGCATAGTGATATTATACTGATGATTTTTAAAGATATTTAGAGCCCGTTTGCACATAAATTTTTTTTCACCTTTTTCTGAAATTTTTTTATTTTTTTCGAAATCAGTGTTTGGCCATAAAATTTCCAAATTTCACTTGAAGATGAATTTTGGAATTTTTCCAAAATTTGGAAAACTTCAAAAAACTGTTTTTCAAAATTTTCACTTATATCACTCACAAAACTTCAAAAACAACCCAAAATTATATTCATGTCCAAACACAACTCTAATATTCAAATACCATTTTCACTTGAAATTTTTTTTCATTCTTTTTGGAATTTCACATTTCTTATGTCCAAACGCCCACTTAGTCAATTTGTAGATAAAGAGCAAAGAGAAAATTACGAGCTTAATTTGGGGATGAAAAATTGCTCGATGCCTTATTAGATTGAAATGTTTTCTCCTTTTCCAAAATGAGACAAAGGTTGAGATGTTTTCCGTTTTTGTAGTCCAGTAGTTTTTTTTCAATAAAAAGATGAATATCTTAATTTTTATTAGCTGTGGTCACTTAACAAATCTCTCCTTTTTATCTTTTTATCTTTCCTGAGCCGAGGGTCTACCAGATACAACCTCTCTACTTTCCCAAGGTAGGGGTAAGGTTTGCGTATACACTATCCTCCCCTGACATGTTTGGACAAAGTAAAATGCATAATCCGTCAGCCTTTGGTTTTTAAAGCAGTAATCGTATGTTCCTAATATGCACTATTACTCAGGAAAACACTATAAGGGAGTAATCCTTTGTTCCTTATTATACAAAGAGAAAAGTATCCTTTGTTTTTCTTTTTTGCTTTCTCTAGGGTCCAACCACTAAGCGGAAAATTAGTTAAGTTACTTGATGTCTTGTTTTGCTTGAGGAGACTTGGACCTCTTCTTCATCTTTATTGTTTATGAGTACAGATTTCTATTCTTACCGAAACAAAGATTGGAAGGTGCAAAAAAATTTAGAGAATGTCAAACTTTTGACTTGATGAATGTCTTTCATAACATAGATTGAAGGGTTGCCTGGCTGTTAAATGTGGAATATGCTTATTTCATGATTTTACCTTCAATTTCAAAGTTAAGTCCTCCTTTTCTTTTGTTTTGTCTTATCTTTAAATTGACATGATTTCTTGGTTTTCTAATTGCTAATTCTCGGAACCTGCTCTCTTTGATAATATTCTTTGTAAAATGATTTCCTAATGTGTGTTTCATGTTTTTCTGGTAATAGCAGGGATTAAAATAACCCATAAAATAACTTTACTTGGAGGATGGGTGACGATGCTTTTGATGGCCAGCTATTGGCTGAAAAGTTGTCTAAGCTTAACAGTTCACAGCAAAGCATAGAATGTATCCTTTTTGTTTATGAAGATTATACTTCATGCATATGTTACTCGATTATTTTTGGGACAGACACCGATGAGTAATTTGGGATTTGACATGGTAGCGCAGGGGATTATGTTCCCGTTTCCAACTTTAATCTATTACTAGCATTGTTATTGGCACTTCAATAACAACAACAACCCAGTAAAATCCTACAAGTGCCTATTTTAGGCACTTCAATCCTAAAATAGTTGTCCTCCTTGACTTAACTACCTAAGGGCTGGGGCTGTCACTTGTATCCACTTGCTATGTTAGCTGCTATCCTTTTTTGCTAATTCTTTTTCCTTCTTTAGTGTAAATAATTATTTTTCTCTCTCTTTTAAATTTAGATAATTCTAGACCTGCCTCTGGTTCAAAAATTACCTTAGCTTGTGAGCTTGTGTGACCCTGTTGTACATATTTCTGCACCATCTTACTGCTACTTCGCGATAATAAGATTAATACCGCTTAAAAGGTCTTATTCGCTCTCACCATATTATATATTAAAAAGAGACAATTCATACATAAATACTTTTCTTGTAAATTTTATGACTTATATCTTATTTTTGTACATAATACTTATAGAAGCTCATCTTAAGTTAAATGTAATCTGTTAATAGTGCTTAATTTTTGCAATTAATTGTTTTATTGGTATTTAGGAATTCCGTATAAAAATTAATATTTAGTTGAACATAGTGTTTAGGGTGCTTTTTAGGGTCAAGATTTCATACGGGAAAGGGACACTCTTATTCGGAAGAAACTTTAGCTTTTACTCGGTATCCAAACAGTAGGAATCTTCCTTATTCTTCCAAAATTATCAATAGTGGACAAAAATTAACTTAAAAAAATCTCAAAGAAAATAATATAAAAGAAAAAGGGGAATATGGAATAAAATTTAATATTAGCAAAGGTCAACATGCCGCTATTAGGTTCTTAAGCGTTTTATCTTTTCGTTTCAAATATGCTAAATGCTACATTATAAGTATAGGTGAGCAAATTAATTTAGAAAGTAAATTTTAAAGTTAATTAAGTTGGATGTTAGAATTATACATTGGTAAAATGGATATTTCGAGATGTTAGCCAAGTTACTTGAACTAAAGGGTCAAACAATTAGAAAGAGAAAATTTCTAACATAAAATTGCCTAGAATGTGGCAAGATTCATCTGAAAAAACAACCTTCATGAATGATGCATTTTTAGCAAATTATTTTGTATAAAGTTGAAGCCCTAGTAAATAAGGCAATATACTTTATCAAAGTAAGCTAACAACTCCAATACGAGGAGCCTTTTTGCATTAAATTTTAATCGCCAAGACAAATAGTTTTACTTATCTCTCTCGTCACATGGTATCAGAGTTGAGGAGAGAAAACACCATATGTGGATGTAATCACCAAGTTTGAGCTTCCGCTTGTTGCATTGAGTTTGGTCTTAGCCCAGCTGTCCAATTAGAAGCTTCATCTTGATGAGGGTGACATAGTGATGAAAATCAAGGGCAGATCTATGTAGTAGGTTCGAGGTGGCATGCCACCCGCAAGCTTCGCCGGAAACTCTGTGTGTATGTATATATGTATAATAAATGGTAAAAATATAGAGTGCCACCCACAGTAACAAAAGTGGCCTAGGTGCCAGCGGCAAAGGTCCAACTTTTCCTCCCATTGGGCGAGAGTTCGAACCCTGTTGAGAGCAAAATTTTTTGCTTGCAGTTAGTCTAAAGAGACTTGAGTACACTGACATGGCACATTTGTTGACACTCTTTTTTTTTCAAATGTTTGACTTTTTTGTTTGTTTGTTCTAGTAGAAACTAATAGGATAAATAATAGTAAAAAGTGTTCTTTTTAGTATGTGCTCTTAGAAATAAATAATAAAAAGTTCGAAACCTTCTTCTTAGGATCTTTTCTCCATCTTTCCCTAGTTAAATAAAACCCATTCCTCTAAACTCGTCAACAACAACACCACAACATACCCAGTGTAATCCCACAAGTGGGGTCTAGGGAGGGCAATGTGTACTTAGCCTTACACCTACTTGTGCATGTAGAGAGGCTGTTTTCGATAGACCCTCGGCTCAAAGAAAGCTGCATGATAATTCACAATAGAAGAGAGAAAGAAACACATTAGCGAAAAAGTCAAAGAAGCAGTAACACCAACAAAATAATAGAAAAACCAGAGCAAAAGCAACCAGGCAGTGATAGAAATCTAGGAATATGGACATACGAGGATAATGCTACCACTACTTAAATGAATGGAAAGACACTCGATTGCCTACCCCCACATCCTTCTACCAAGGGTCACGTACTCGGTAAGCTGAAAATGTGCCATGTCCTATCGAATCAGCTCTCCCTAGTACTTTTTTAGCCTACCTCTATCCTCCAAATTATTATTGAGCATTTTTACAATATAAAAATTCGTCGTGGACAATGATAAATGAATAATGTATATTTATGATATTGGTAATATTATTGGAAGTTTTATGCTTTGCGCCAAGTACTCATAATTATTTATCTTCTGGCATTGCTTGTCATTAAAAAAAAGAAACGCTGGACACGAGACAGGAGAGAGAGAAATAGTGGCGTTGACCGCCAAAGATACAAAAAGACAAAAGAAACTTAGTTGGGCAGGTAGCATTAGGCTGTTCATATGTTGTGGGTGATAGGTGCTATTTGAGTTTCTGCCTAGATCAGGGAGGTAATGATGCCATGTAGAATTAATTGGGCGTCTCATCTACAATGTTAAGCTGTTAGAGAAGAAAAACTTGTATTTATTTAATTATTTCTTAACACGCATCCCCACACATAGAAACAGTTTGTTCTTAGGTGGGTATGAGACTTTAACCCAGGCTCTCTATTGTTCTGCTACTATTTAAAGAAACTAAATCTAAGGAGGAGGAGGAATTATTTTGGGGCTTGATCTTGATATTTAGCAATAGGGGCTCTAGCTTAATATAGCACATGAAGGCAAGAAATAGTTTTCCTACTATGAAGTAGAGAATATCGTTGAATATCATATACTCCTCCGTTCCAGTTTATGTGAACTTTTTCGCTTTTCTAGTGTCAATTTGACTAATCTTTGAAGCTTGATTGAATTGATTAACTCAATGTTTTAAAGTTAAAATTTAGATATTCAAAAACTATACGAATAGTACTATAAGTTGCAATTTTTCTCATGTCAATATGATGAAAAAATGCATTTCAAAATGTTGGTCAAAGTCTACATAGTTTGAATTTCAAAAAGCGGAAAGTTTCACTTAAACTGAAACGGAGGAGTAATATTTTTGCAACGTTCAGCTATTTAAACAACTTAAATCTGGTCGTTTTGTGAATCTAGAAAAGCATGCTCCCAGTAGTATCGGCCTTTTACCCCACTTTCCTCTAGATTTCATCAGGTGGTCACGCCAGAGACATAAACAATCATGGATAATTAAATTGTGAGATCCTTATTGATCAAAAGTTCTAATCGCACATATTTTGTTCTCATCTTATGTTTGTTTCCATGGATTTTTTATTTTAGAGGGAGGCTAATGTGATTCTTTTAAGCTAGAGGATAAGTGTGAGTTGTGTTAATTTATAGTGGAAGTCAATGTACTTAACCTTTTTATTTACTGATTAAGAAAAAATGAAAAGATCATTTGAGAGGTGCTATGTGTTCCATATTGCTTTGAGGAATGGGCTGTTATCTCCTTATATAGTCTTATGCAATCCTCTCTCTTGAGCTAGTTTAAAAAGTCCATTTTTTAAACATGGTATTAGAGATACACCGATTCCAATTCTTGGTTAGCAAGTGTTGGGTGTTGGGGAAGGGGGGTGTTAAATATCCCACATTTGGTTGATATAATCTACTGTTGTCTCATTATATGATGTTTGCTAATCCTCACCTCATGAACTTGCTTTTAGGTTTGAGTAAGGCCTAATGTCCATTTTCTTAACTAGATGGGTACAATTTATATTGACTATATCTTATGTAGTAGAAATAGTATAACTTCTATCTATTCGGGAAATAATATTCAATGACGGCCAAAATACAAAAGCTACGACAACTGGAGGGAGTATTATTTTTTCAAAATGCTCTGGACGTCAGTAATGCAGTCTGTTTTGGTACTTCTAGCAGAAACTTTCTTCTTTTTGTCTTTAAGAAACTTTGGTATGATGAAGGGCTATTTTTAATGCTGAGTGCTTCTTTCAGCTTTGGTATGATTTTCTTAACATTTTATCAGCTTTGTCACGGTGGTGCATTTCACATCGTAAGAAAGCCAAGCAGATTGTTGAAACGTGGGACAAGTTGTTCAGATCTGCACAGCGGGAGCAGCGTGTTTCATTTCTGTACTTAGCCAATGATATTCTGCAGAATAGTCGGCGCAAGGGCAGTGAGTTTGTTAATGAGTTCTGGAAGGTCCTTCCCACGTCTGTGAAGCATGTTTATGAAAGTGGCGATGAAAATGGGAAGAAAGCGGCTTCTAGACTGGTAATCCCTTTTCTGTTTCCTGGTAGGTGTATTTGCTTGTTGTCTATATATATATATATACACACACACATATATATACTTGTGTTGTTGGAAGTTGGCCTTATGATGAAGCTCTTCTGTCACCTTGTTTTTTGGTTCTTACCACTAGTTTTATTTCTTGTAGGGTTGGTGGGTTCAAAGTCTGCTGTTAATTGCAAAGTTGGATACCAAAACTGAGAAAGCTCTCTTCCCCTTCATTGTGCTTTAGAAAGGAGCGAGAAATATTTGCTGAAGTTTTTCTACTCATCTTCCTTTATCAAAATTCTCTTTTCTATCCAAAAAACAAACAAGTTAAAAATGATAGAATATGATGTGAGGGCGGATATATATATTTGAGTTTATGATGCTACATGCATGCAGATCAAGATTTTCTTTGTGAAGGCATGGAGTTGACCCAGTGTTCTCATTAGATTTTATATATTTTATGTGTGTGTGTATTAATTTATGCCGGTTGTGTCTGAGCCAGCTGCGCGCTCATAAGATTTTTATATTTTTCTTTCACTATGTAATTAGAGCAATATTCTTACAAGCAGTGAGAGATAAAAAGTCTGTAACAGGCTTTACAAGCCTAAAGAACCTCAAATAGTTATGTTGGGTCGTATTCTGCTGCTAATTTTTCTAAAATCACCTTCTGGTGGTACTCGAGTAGTGCCAACTGTTGCATTGAAGTCTGAGAAGTCACTATACCCATTAGTTATTAAGGGGCATTGTTTTATCGTTGTCACGTGGTTAAGTTGTTGTTGACAATAGAAAGAAAGAGGGTCAATTATACACCTGTTTAACAGAACTCAAAAAGGGCTGTGCGGTGTCAATCTAATTCCAATTAGTTAACTCCAAAAATGTTTTACTATGGTTGCTAATTAGGCCATGAATCCTAGAAGAAAAGCCATTCTCATTCTCTTCTAACTCCTCTACAATTCTTGTAACATGTGGGAAAGCCACAAGTAGAACAGTCTCACTCTACTCCAATGCTTGGACTATCTCACATCTTTGGCAGCCCCTTAAAGTTTGTCTAGAACCTGGTCTCATGGTGATGAATGGCACACCTTAGTGCCTTCGTGCTTGAACTAAAGCTGCCTAAGTGGGGTGAAACACTTGATCTGTCATCTTGGTTTATTAAGATATGGTGCTATTAGATCTGCAGTTACTAAGAAACTCCTTAACCGTATCTCTTTATTTTTGTTTTGTTGATTTTAAGCTTACTGTCTGTCGAAGCCCATGTCACTATTTTCTTATTCCGTACTGTTTCCTCTTTGGTTTCTTCTTTTTTTTTTCCCGGGTGATATCAGGTTAATATATGGGAAGAGAGAAAAGTTTTTGGATCCAGGGGTCAGAATCTTAAAGACGAAGTGTTGGGCAAGACTCTTGGTCCGTCAGTAAGCAACGGGAAGAGCTCAAATCCTATCAAAGTTGTGAAAAAGGATGCTCACTCAGTAAGGATTGTGAGTATCAAATGCAAATTTTCTGCTCAAAATTCATGCTGGTTTCTTGTCAAGGTTGTTTTGGCAATCTGAATGTTTTGTTAATTTCAACATCAGAAATTGGCTGTTGGCTGTACTCCAGAAAAAATTGTAACAGCATTCCAACTAGTTCATGATGAAAATGTGAATGAGGAAGATGCTTTGAACAAGTGCAAAGATGCAGTTTTTTGTGCTGGGGAAATGGAGAGTGATATTGAAAACCTTTCTTCCCAAGGTAAAAGAGTAAATTATTGCTGGAATAATGTATCTCAGAGTGAAGAATACCACAATCTTTTCTGTCTCTTTAATTGGCGCTGCATAACCATTTTGTGTCATTTTTTGATTATAGTGGAGATATCTCTTGCATTCCGGGCACTAGTTTTTCAAGTTTATTTTTGCTGTAAGTGGAGTATCTGCTTTGTTTGTGAACTATATGATGTTTATCCTTTAAGAGAGATTTCTGGAGAAAAGATGATTTATCTGCCAGGAGTCTATCTCTTTGTGATTGATGAGTAATTGTCTGTAGAGGTTCATAGCCAACAACTCTTTTGCTCTTTGAAGTACTCAATACTTCTGATCAACTGCTGCAAGATGATATCTACTTTTTGGAGAATCATGTTAGTGATTGTTTAAGTTATTAGGAATATGAAGCAACTAAAAACCAAGGAAAGAAAAAAGAATACACCAAAATGCACGTGCTGCACCATATGCTGGTGGTTGTTTCCTGTTGCAACACAAATAATGAATAAGGAGACAATTCATATATTTGACATTTGGTGCTCATTTTCGAACTTTTGGTTTATTACTCCCATCATCCGGTTTAAAATAGGATTCACAAGAAAGGTGACAAGATTCGAACCTATGGTCGGCCTGCCCCCTGACCAGCTGGGTTGAGCGCTTGTGGTAGGTGTATGGGATGTCACAAGATCCGAGACTAGTTGGATCTTGAGCACTCTTCCACCCTATAAATATGAATAGGTGCACATACCTTTGTATCATCAGTGTTTCAGCAAGTGACAGCCTGAAACTTTTAATCTACTATATTTATTATTAGTGTTGAGCCGGGTGGTCTTTCGTAAACAACCTCTCTACCTTCAAGGCAGGAATAAGGTTTGTGTACCCACTAGCCTCTCTAGACCCCATTTGTGGGATTATATTGGATTTGTTATTGTTGTTCTTGTATGTTAATATATAAGTATATATTAACTTCTAATGCTACTAGCTATCAAGAATTGTTCTTTGTCTTTCGTGATGAGTAGAATTTTCGATGAAAGAGGAACCCGTGGGTAGAAAAGTGATATAAGAGTGAGAATTTTCTTGCTAGCATGACAAACTTTAGCATAATAATCGTAGAACATATTAACTCGTGGTTAGAGGCCATAAAGATTGGCAAAGTGGTCCAATGATGAAGGTAGTATAGCGTGACATGTGCGGTAGGCACATGCTACAAGTTAATATCATGATGCGGAGCCAAATTTGGTATGTAACTGGAGAAGGGTTAGAAGAACATGCTGATTATCCATCGAGTTTCGAAACTGAAAAATAACAGATTTTTCGGTTATGAAAAGATAAAGATAGGCACAAGCACCAAAGACCATTAGCTTTCAAAGAGATGTTATTTAATGGGTTTGCCTAACCCTTTCAAATGTCATTTATTATGTTTTGTGCAAAAAGGCATGGATAAGATTGTCCAGTAACCAAAGTGGCCGAGTTGGTTGAGTAGGGGACTTCCCAAATAGAAGATCTAGGGTTCGAAACCACTTACATACATCCTCGGTCGAGCCCGTAGCATGGTGGTTGCCTAGTATGGTTTATCTTTTTTTTTGTAGTTTGCGGGCTATTACACAGAAATAAGGTTTATTACCCTATGCACACGAGTAGCGGCTGTGGTTTCCTTGTTACCAAAAGTTGTCCAGTGATCAAGGATCATATTTAAAGCACTTTGACACATCAAATCCTTGCAAATTTCAGAGGGTGCTTACAAGAGAAAAGACCCAATAGTTTCAATTCATTAATTACATGCTCAACAACAACAACCAGTGGATTCCCAGAAGTGGGGTTTGGGGAGGGTAGGATGTACCTAGCCTTACCACTATCTTGGACGGGTAGTGGGGTCGTTTCAGATAGACATTCAGCTAAAAAAAAAGATGAAAGACGCATTGATAGCAAGTAATAACAATACAAGATATTAAGAAAATTGAAACCAAGATAGCAAAAGAGCTGTATGTTGTAATAGCAATCTAAGGATAAAATGATATCATACTAGTACTAATCCTATTGAACTAAGGAAGACAAAAGGGAAATGCTCGACTACCTACTAAACTTCTACCTTAATTCTCAACCTCCACACCCTCCTATCAAGGGTCATGTCCTCGGTTAGCTCAAGCTGCGCCATGTCCCACCTGATCACCTCTCCCCAAGACTTTTTTGGCCTGCCTCTACCCTTCCTCTTAACCTACCAAGGTCAACCTCTCACCCCTCCTTACTGTAGCATCTATGCTTCTCCTTTTTGACATGCTTGAATTATCTTAGCCTCGCATCTCGCATCTTATCCTCCACGGGGGCCACTCCAACCTTGTCCCGAATAACTTCATTCCTAATTTTATCTATCCTAGTATGCCCACACATCCATCTTAACATCCCTATTTTAGCTACTTTTATCTTCTGGACATGAGAGTTCTTGACTGACAACCCATACAACATAGTTGGTCACATCACTACTTTTAATATCTTACCTTTAAATTTTAATGGCACATTCTTATTGCACAAGACACTAGAAGCGAGCCTCCACTTCATCCACCCTTCTCCGATACGATATGTGACAACCTCATCAATCTCCCATCACCCTAAATTACAGATTCAAGATACTTGAAACTCCCTCTCCTAAGAATGGCTTGTGTATCAAGCCTCATATCTACGTTCGCTTCCCAGGTATGAACTTGTACTCCAAGCTACGTTGCGTGAACTCTCCAAAATGATACCGCACTCGTGTCAGATCTTCCAAAAATACACTATTTTTGGAGGATCCAACATGCACCTGGTAACATTTTCAGAGAGTCCGAGCAACATAGACTCCGAGTATCCTTTCTTGGTTTTGCTCAACTTAAAACCTTTAGATTCAGGGGTACGTCTCCAAATTTCCAATCTCTCGTTATCAGCACCTAGTGTCTCATCAATCAGAATTGTGTCATCTGCAAATAACATATACCATGGCACATCTCCTTGAATGTGTTGTGTTAATACATCGATTGCCAAGGAAAATAAAAAGGGGCTAAGTGCTGATCCCTGATGCAACTCCGTTTTAACCGGGAAGTATTCTGAGTCTCCTCTCGCTATCCTTACCCATGTCTTAGCTCCATCGTACATGTCTTTGATCGCTTTAATATAAGCTCCATGCACTCCTTTAGCCTCCAAACATCTTCATAGAACCATTCTCGTGACTATCGTAAGATTTCTCTAGGTCGATGAACACCATATAAACAAACAAACAACAAACCAGTATGATCCCAACATGTGGGGTCTGGGGAGGGTAGTCTGTACGCAGACCTTACCCCTACCTAATAAAGGTAAAGAGGCTGTTTCCAATAGACCCTCGGCTCAGGAAGGGCAAGAAGAATAAGAGGAAAGCAAGGAAGGAAGAAAGAAGGAAGAGAAAAGAAAAAGGGAGAGGTAAAGATAAGCAGTGCCAAATAATAGTAACGGGGAATACAATACCTGAGGCGAACAAAATCACATAACATAATAAAAATCTAAGAATATGAAGGGACATGCATGCTATTAAGACTATCGGTGAACAACTAAAAAAATTACCTATTAACCTTCTACCTTAATCCTGGACCTCCACAATCAGGGGTCATGTCCTCAGTGAGCTGAAGCAGCGTCATGTCCTGTCTAATCACCTCTCCCCAGTACTTCTTAGGCCTACCTCGACCTTTTCTCAAATTCTCCATGGCCTACCTCTCACATCTCCTGACAGGAGCATCAATGCTTCTTCTCTTAACATGTCCGAACCATCTCAGCCTAGACTCCCGCATCTTGTCCTCCACGGAGGCTACTCCCCACTCTGTCCCGGATAGCTTCATTCTTAATCCTATCTCTCCTGGTACACCCACACATCCATCTCAACATCCCCATCTCTGCTACTTTCATCTTCTGCACGTGGGAGTTCTTGACTGGCCAACACTCAGCCCCATACAACATAGCCGGTCGAACCACCACTCGATAAAACTTTCCCTTATGTCTTGGCGGCACATTCTTATCACATTGAACACCGGAAGCGAGCCTCTACTTCATCCATCCGGCTTCGATGCGATATGCGACATTTTCGTCAATCTCCCCATTACCCTGGATAATATACCCGAGATACTTAAAACTCGCTCTCTTGGGATAACTTGAGCATCAAGCTTAACCTCTACGTCTGCATTATGTGTCCCGTTACTAAATTTGCACTCCAAGTATTCTGTCCTCGTTCTACTCAGTTTGAAACCTTTAGACTCCAAGGTTTGTCTCCAAACCTCCAACCTCGCGCTAACTCCATTTCGCGTCTCGTCAATCAACACTATATCATCGGCAAATAGCATGCATCAAGGCACCTCCCTTGATGTGTCGTGAGAGTACATCCATCGCAAAGGCAAATAAAAATGGGCGAAGAGCCGATCCATGGTGCAACCCCATCTCTACAGGGAAATGCTCCGAGTCACCACCCACGGTCGTCACCCGAGTCTTAGCGTCATCATACATATCCTTAATCACCCTAATATACGCTACCGGAACGCCGGTAACCTCCAAACACCTCCCTCAGGACTTTATCGTATGCTTTCTCAAGGTCAATAAACACCTTATGCCAATCCTTCTTCCTCTCCCTGTACTGCTCCACTAATCTCCTTACCAAATGAATCGCTTCCGTAGTCGAACGCCCAACATGAATCCAAACTGATTATCGGAAATAGACACGCACCTCCTCACCCTGGCCTCCACCACCCTCTCCCAAACCTTCATAGTGTGACTCAACAATTTGATACCCCTATAATTGTTGCAATTTTGGATATCACCCTTGTTCTTGTAAAGCAGAACCATCGTACTCCACCTCCATTTTTCGGGCATCTTCTTCGTCTTAAAAATAACATTGAACAACCTAGTGAGCCACTCCAAACCTGCCCGCCCTGCGCTCTTCCAGAATTCCACCGGGATTTCGTCTGGCCCCGTCGCCTTGCCCCTTCCACCTCCTCTACCGTAATCCGCCTACAGTACCCAAAATCCCGCAGACTCTCGGAGTGCTCCAACTCACCCAGCACAAGCATCTATCCCCCTCCTCATTCAACAGTTTATGGAAGTATGTCTGCCATCTTCTCCTAATAAGTGCCTCGTCCATCAACGCTTTGCCATCCTCGTCCTTGATGCACTTGACTTGATCTAAGTCACGGGCTTTCCTCTCCCTCACCTTGGCCAATCGGTACAACTTCTTGTCCCCGCCTTTGCCCCTTGAGCTCCTCGTACAAACGAGCAAACACCGTGTTCTTAGCCATCGTAACTGCCAACTTTGCCTCTTTCTTTGCCTTTCTGTAACACTCCCGATAAGTCCATTTTTCCTCCTCGTTTGTACTCTCCACTAGCTTCAAATAAACAACTTTCTTAGTTTCCACTTTACCTTGAACCTCTCCATTCCACCACCAGTCCCCTCGTGACCCCTAAGACCTCTCTAGCAGCTATCCTAATGCAATTCGCAGTTGTGAACCACATACTAGACGCGTTCCCCCTACTCATCCAGGCCCTCATAGCTAACAGCTTCTCCCCTAACTCCTGAGCTTTGTCTTTGGTCAAGTTAACCCCCTTGATCTTAGGTCGCCTGCATCCCGCCCTCTTCCTCTTCCTCCTCTTGATCTCTAGGTCCATAACTAGGAGCCTACGTAGGGTCGTGAGGTGCTCACTTGGGATGAGCTTGCAATCAGTGCACAGACTTTTGTCGCATTTCTGTAGAGAAGATAATCAATCTGAGTCTTGCCAAATACTGCTCATGTGAAAGTCCTTTTTCATTGCCCTATACTGCTCCACCAATCTCTTCTCAAAGTGAATGGCTTCCGTAGTCGATCGTCCCGGCATGAAACCAAGCTGGTTCTCGAAAATAGTGCACTCCTCCTTAATTCTCATCCACCTTTCTATCACCCTCTCCCATATTTTCACTGAATGGCGTTGCAACTTGATACCCCTAAGCAGTATTTTAAAAAGTGATCGCTTCGTCGTTTTAAGTGCGAAGCGATGGCTGGTCGCTTTTCTCAGCCTGAGGCGACTCGACCAGATGAAACGCGCGTTTCAGTTGAAGAAGCGCGAAGCGACGTAAAGCGCAGAAGAGCTTGCTTATGTTAAGAGGGGCCTTTTATTAAAAAAAAACGTTTGGGCCTGTTTTTTATTATACAAAACAGACCCCTAAGACCAAATTGACCATTTCTCTCTTCTTCGATAGACATTGCTGCTGCTAGGGTTTCAACTTCCTCCAGTCCGGGTAATTTTTCTTCTTTCTTCTTCTCGTTCCCGTCCAACGTTTGCTCTTTTTTTCTTTCTTTTTCCTTCTTTCTTCCTTCTTCTTCTTTTCTCTTTTTCACTTTTTCTCGTCCAGCGTCTGCACAACTAGGGTAGGCACTGGTTTTCTTTTTATTTTTTTCCCTTTTATTTTTCTTATTTATTAATTTTAATATGTATTTTAGTTTATAAAATTAATTATTATATATATATATATATATGTGTGTGTGTTATATTTTTCAGTTTATTTGATTTTTTTAATGTGTATTTCAGTATATAAAATTAATTATTATATATATGTTATATTTTCAATTTATTTGATTAATTTATATGTATTTCAGTTTAGAAAATTAATTATTATATATATATTTTAGTTTATTTGATTTTTTTAATGTGTATTTCAGTTTAGAAAATTGATTATTATATATATTATATGTATTTTCAGTTTATACATTATGTTTTTTAAGAATTGCGCTTCACTTTAATGAAGGGTGCCCTTCGCTTTTGAAGCGAGGCGAGTCCCTGTCGCTTTTTTGCGCTTCTCGTTCTCAAAAACACTGCCCCTAAGTTGTTGCAAGTTTGGATATCCCCTTGTTCTTGTACAACGGAATCATTGAGCTCCACCTCCACTCTTCATGCATGTTGGTCGTCCTAAAAAGGACGTTAAACCTAGAGAGCTATTCCAAGACTATCTTACCCGCACTCTTCCAAAATTTTGTAAGGATTTCATCTGGGCATATTGCTCTACCCTACTCATCCTGCGCATAGCCCCTTTGACCTTCCTCACTCTTATGCGTCTACAATACCCAAAATCTCGATGCCACTTAGAGTTAAAGTACATCAAATCACCCATCACAGTGCTCCTATCCTCCTTTCATTCAAGGATTTATGGAAGTATGACTGCCATCTTTGTCTCCTCCAACCAAACACCCTACCGTCTTTTATGCACCTCACTTGGTCCAAATCACGGGCCTTCCTTTCTCACACCTTGGCCAGCTTTTACCACTTCTTGTCACCGCCTTTGTCCCCAAGTTCTTTATGTAAACGACCAAACGCCGTGGTCTTAGCTGCAGTAACCGCTAACTTCGCCTCCTTTTTAGCCTTCTTGCATCATTCCCTGTTAGCCCTCTTCTCCACCTCGTCTATGTTCTTTACTAGCTTCAAATACGCCGCTTTCTTAGCTTTCACTTTCCCTTGCACCTCTTCGTTCCATAACCAGTACTCTTTGTGGCCACCAGAGAAACTCTTTGAGACCCCTAACGCCGCCTCTCGCCGCCTTTCTAATACAATCCGCTCATAGTCCACATATAACTCGCGTCCCCACTGCTCCTCCAGGCCCCCATAGCCAGCAACTTCTCCCCCAACTCATGAACTTTATCTTTAGTCAATGCATCCCACCTGATTTTAGGTAGAGCAGATACAACCCTTCCTTCTTCTCCGCCTGATCTCTAAGTCCATAACCAATAGCCTATGCTGACTTGAACAAAGGTCTAGTTCGAGACGGGCAATTCCTTGTGTCTGGCAGATGGGAGAAGGTAAAAAATCTAGCTCAAGCTCCAAGCGGTAGCGGTAGACTATACTCCTATTGCATACCTGTTATGCTTTATCATGAAAAGCTGTACAACAAGAACAACCCAGTTCAAATTGAGATACATGGCTAAAAGCAGAAAATTTTGTTGACATGGTGGAGAAGGCCATGTCAACTTATCTTAATATCAAATATCTTTTTGATAGTTGCTATCTCGGAGATGGTGATCTTTAAAAATGATGCTTGTGAATTTTCCTGCAGCTTAATGTGACACTAATACTTCTCTGCTCTTAAAATTTTCCGGCATTTACCTTCTCAGTTTCCCAAATTCTTCCCCAGTATAATACTCCAGCTTTGCTATCTCAAGCTTTAACTGGAAGGAATATAGGAATTTGAATTAAGGGTGCTGTTGAGCTGTTGCTTATTTACAATATATAAGAACTTTTTCTCAAAAAGAAAATACTTACTCATCCTAGGAGATCGAGATTTGCCAGTATTGCTATTATCATGTAACTCATGGTACAAACATATCATGTATTAAGCAAATATGTTAATTTTGATATAACTACAATATGTTGTTTGTATTAAAGGTACTCTTGAGCTAGTTGCTTAATTGCATCGACAATCCAAATAAAAATTTTGTTCGCAAGAAAATTGATAAACTATAGCTGAATTTGGAGGTGGACTATGTTGGGAATAAACAACAAGCAGGTCGCCTTCTGTAAGATTTATTATGGATGAACTCGAAGAAGCCCTTAAAGTTCAGGGTCACAGGAAAGATTAGTCCTTGATTTCTTTATACTTGCATTTCATAATCATGAACTCCATCATGCTGTATTTTATCTTTCTTGCTATTACTTTGATAATTGCTCTTGTTAAAACTTCTGACAATTGTGTTTTGGGCTGACTGTTGCTCAGGAAATCTCCAGGGTTCTGAATTGATGGATAAGATGCAAGAACAGGAAAACATACTTCAGCAATGTGTCAGCCAGCTTGAGAATGCTGAATCATTGAGAGTTACC